CTGTGAACCGTCTCGTCCTGGACTTTTTTTGGTTTGTAGGATATTCATTCCTGCCTCATTGTTCTATTCAGGGATTTGACTTTTTCCTGGTTTAGACTTAGGAGGCTTTAAGTGTCCAGGAATTTATAATTTCTTCTAGATTTACTGGTTTATTTGCATAGCGGTGTTTGTAGTATTCTCTGATGGTAGTTTGTATTTATGTGGGATCAGTAGTGAAATCACCTTTATCATATTTTATTTCAACTATTTGAATCTTCTCTCTTTTCTTCATTAGTCTGACTAGTGGTCTATCTTGTTGATCTTTTCAAAAAACCGGCTCCTGGATTCACTGATTTTTTTGTGTGTCTCTATCTCCTTCAGTTCTGCTGTGATCTTAGTAATTTGCTTCTGCTAGCTTTGAATTTGTTTCATCTTGCTCCTCTAGTTCTTTTAATTGTGACATTACAGGGTCAGTTTTAGATCTTTCCATGTTTCTGTTGTGGGCATTTAGTGCTATAAATTTCCCTCTAGACACTGCTTTAAATGTGTCCCAGAGATTCTGGTACATTGTGTCTTCATTCTCATTGGTTTCAAGGAACATCTTTATTTCTACAGTAGTCATTATTCATCCAGTGGTCATTCAGGAGCAAGTTGTTCAGTTTCCATGTAGTTGTGCAGTTTTGAGTGAGTTTCTTAATCCTGAGTTCTAATCTGATTGCACTGTGGTCTGAGAGACGGTTATAATTTCTGTTCTTTTGCATTTGCTGAGGAGTGTTTTACTTCCAATTATGTGGTCAATTTTAGAATAAGTGTGATGTGGTGTTTAGAAGAATGTATATTCTGTGGATTTGAGGTGAAGAGTTCTGCAGGTGTCTATTAGGTCCACTTGGTCCAGATCCGAGTTCAAGTCCTGGATATCCTTGTTAATTTTCTGTCTCATTGATCTAATATTGACAGTGGGGTGTTAAAGTCTCTATTATTGTGTAGGAGTCCAAGTCTCTTTGTAGGTCATTAAGAACTTGCTTTATGTATCTGGGTGCTCATGTATTGGGTGCGTATCTATTTAGGATCATTAGCTCTTCTTGTTGTATTGAACCCTTTACCATTATGTAATGCCCTTCTCTGTCTCTTTCGATCTTTGTTGTTTTAAAGTCTGTTTATCAGAGATTAGGAAAAGGTTAGATGAAATGCTAAGTAGAATAACCAGCATAGAGTAGAACATAAATGACCTAATGGAGCTGAAAAACACAGCACTAGAACTTCCTGAAGCATATACAAGTTTCAATAGCCATATTGATCAAGCAGAAGAAAGGATAGAGACTGAAGATCAACTCAATGAAATAAAGCAAGAAGGCAAGATTAGAGAAAAAAGAGTAGAAAGAAATGAACAAAGCCTCCAAGAAATATGGGGTTATGTGGAAAGGCCCAATCTATGTTTGAAAGGTGTAACTGAAAGTGACTGGGAGAATGAAACCAAGGTGGAAAACACTCTTCAGTATATTATCCAGGAGAACTTCCCCAACCTAGCAAAGCAGGCCAACATTCAAATCCAGGAAATACAAATAACACCACAAAGATATTCCTCAAGAAGAGCAACCCCAAGACACATAATGATCAGATTCACCAGGGTTGAAATGAAGTAAAAACTGCTAAGGGCAGCCAGAGAGAAAAGTCAGGTTACCCACAAAGGGAAGCCCATTGGATTCACAGTGGATCTCTCAGCAGATATGCTACAAGCCAAAAAAGAAGGAGGGCCAACATTCAACTTCCTTAAAGAAAAGAATTTTCAAGCCAGAATTTCATATCCAGCCAAACTAAGCTTCATAAACGAAGGAGAAAGAAAATCCTGTATGGACAACCAACTGCTGAGAGATGTTGTCACCACCAGGCCTGCCTTACAAGAGCTCCCGAAGGAGGCACTAAACATGGAAAGGAACAACCAGTACCAGCCACTGCAAAAGCATACCAAATTGTAAAGACCATGGACACTATGAAGAAACTGCATCAACTAACGGGCAAAACTACCAGCTAGCATCAAAATGGCAGGATCAGATTCACACACAACAATATTAACCTTAAATGTAAATGGGCTAAGCACCCCAATGAAAAGACACAGACTGGCAAATTGGATAAAGAGTTAAGACCCATTGGTGTGCTGTATTAAGACCCATCTCATGTGCAAAGACACACATAGGCTTAAAATAAAGGAATAGAGGAAGATTATCAAGCAAATGGAGAGAAAAAAAAAAAAGAAAAAGCAGAGTTGCAGTCTTTTTTAAGTTCAGTGGTACAAGGGCAAAGTTACTATATTGGTATATATGTGTCATGGGGATTTGTTATATAGATTATTTTGTCACCTAGGTATTAACACTACTACCCATTAGTTTTTTTTCTGAACCTCTCCCTCTTCCCTTCCTCTACCGTCCAGCCTCCAAAAGTCCCCAGTATGTGTTATTCTCCTCTATGTGTCCATGTGGTCTCATCATTTAGCTCCTACTTATAAAAGAGAACTGGCAGTATTTGGTTTTCTGTTACTTCATTGGTTTGCTAATGATAATTATTTTTTCATGGACACATAGTATTCCATGGTGTGTATATACCACATTTCTTTATCCAGTCTACCACTAATGGACATTTAGGCCTTTGCTATTGTGAATAGTGCTGCAATGAACATACACGTGCATGTATCTATATGATGGAATGATTTATATTCCTTTGGGTATATTCCAAGTAATGGAATTGCTGGATCAATGGTATTTCTGTCTGTAGGTCTTTGAGGAGTCTCCACACTGTCTTACGCAATGGCTGAACCAGTTTGTACTCTCACCAACTGTGTATACATGTTCCTTGTTCTCCAAAACCTCACCAGCGTGTGTTATTTTCTGACTTTTTTTTTTTTTTGGTTTCTGAGATGGTGTCTCTCTCTGTTACCCAGGCTGGAGTGCAGTGACATGATTTCAGCTCACTGCAATCTGCACCTCCTGAGTTCGAGATTATCCTGCTTCAGCCTCCTAAGTAGCTGGGATTACAGGCATGCACCAACACACCAGGCTAATTTTTTTGTATTTTTAGAGGAGATGGGTTTCACCATGTTGGCCAGGCTGGTCTTGAACTGCTGACCTCATGATCCACCCACCTCAGACTCCCAAAGTGCTGAGATTACAGGCTTGAGACAACATGCCTGGCCTTTGACTTTTTAATAATAGCCATTCTGACTGGTGTGAGATGGTATCTCATTGTGGTTTTGATTTGCATTTCTCTAATGATCAGTGAAGTTGAGCTTTTTTTCATATGCTTGCTGGCTTCATGTAGGTCTTTTGAGAAGTGTCTGTTCATGTCCTTTGTCCACTGTTTAATGTGGGGTTTTTGTTCTTGTAAATTTAAGTTTCTTATAGATGCTGGATATTAGACCTTTGTTGGATGCATAATATGTACTTTTAACATTTGCATACAACTATATTATGTGAATAAAATCAGGTGAAGCTTTTGAAAGAATTTTGAAATGTTAGAAACAGCCTCATTTTTTATATACCAAATGAATATAATTGTGTGGTGCTTTTTAAAGCAATGATCAATTAGAACCACCATTATATCCTTTAGCAATCAAAATACTGTAGCTCTGATGTTTAAAAGTAAATATAGACTGTTCATATTATAACGTATTAGTACTACCAGCTGTTGTTTTAGGTAGTATTTTCTATCCGTTAATGCCATTCGAGAAGGAGTAATGTTTTCTTCTTCTCCTTAGTGTAGAGACAATCATCATTGATTGTGCCGTGTTCTTCTGTGTTCATACATCCTGAAGTCTAAACACTTAGTTTAGGGCTTTAAAAAGTTTTCCTAACCTACTTTCCCCGCCTTAATCCTCATTCTTACCCCCCTGGATAATCCTATTATATGGTTAGAAACTTTACAGTTTCCTTGTTTCTAACCCTTTGATGACACTGTTTTCTGTTTCCACTTGTTGAAACTGTACGTGAATTTAAATGACATCTAGTCCATGTAGGCTTTGTGGTCCTCCCACTGCAAATAAATACTTTTCTTCTTCTAGACTTCTGCAATTTTTGTGTCTACTTTTCTGAATGGCATCTAGCCTATTCTGTTTTACACTTTTATATTACTCTATGTTTTGTTCGTGTATTGAATTTTTTTCACTTCTTTTATTCTCTGTTTCTGCATCTGTTGACAAAACTGTGAGCTTTTTAGGAGTGCTCTACTTTTTATATTCACATAAGTGTCTAGGAGGCTCTTGTTGGGCAATAAGAAATATTCTATAAAAAACTGTAGAACTAAATTGAATTGTTGGGCCACACTTACAGAAATAAGTATCAAACTGAACCTTTCATGGAACTGGACAAGTTTAAAGAATAAATGTATTCCAGTGTCAGTGTCCTGAAAAAGAGTCTGTAAGTGCTGACTGGAAGGGAAGAATCAAGCTGTTTAACCAATAAAGCTAGTGCATTTGGATAGCATGCTTGGCTAGAAATCAGCAAGCAGATATCAGAGACATTGGGAGTCATGAAATGTTGTCCTCCAACATTAAATACTTGATTAATGTTTTTTACATACAGAACACGCATTTAAAGCTTATGGTTTACCAAATGTAAAAGGAGTGCACTAGCGTTTGGGCAGGTTTTAAAAACAGGCAAGGTAAATCCTGCATGCTGGAAATAAAACTTGTATTATACAGTCTTCTTGGCCCTTTGTTTAGGGAAAACGATCATATTTGAACAAGAATTTTCAAGGAACGCTGTTTAGAAAGAAATTAATCTTGAACAAATATTTTCAGGTAGTAACACACCCAGCTTTGGTGTTTTCTAATTATTATTACATGAAGGGATCTTTTCTAGCTTATAACATTTCCTAGCAGTTGGAATCCTATGAAGGCCACATCTATACAAAGAAATAGAGGTGTTACCTTGAGCAGTCAGAGATAGGCTTCCTGAGCCTTTAAAATTTCTTTCCATGTATTTGCATTTCCCTGGCCTACTTGATTCATGTGCTCTGTATTTTCTTCTTAGATTATTAAAACGGGAAGAAAGTTTCACATTCATTCCGCGGTCTCGTGAAGAGCTTCCAGACAACTTTCCAAAGGAAATTCCTGGGATCTGCTATTTCCTGGAGGTAAGGACTGGTCCAAAGCCACCAAAGCCTTCTCTTTCTTCGTCAAGAATAAAAAAGGTTTCCTACAACATTGGCACCATGTTTCTCCGGGAGACAAGCCTCTGAGACCTGCTGCAGATCAAAGACTCCTCCAAAAAGCACAAGCCCAGAACATGGGTCACCACAGGAGAGTGGAAAGAGATCGTGTCTCTTTCATTGCTTTGCTGAGAACAACCCACAAAATTTCTGTATTATGTCAGGCAATAATCCTACTATAAGGTGGAGGTGACCGCTGTCAATAAGAGCCGGAGGATGAGGGAAGTAAGAGGTGTCCATTCCTATGGGTGTTTTTGGTCATATATATATTCATATATTTTGATTACAAGTGTGGGCCCCCTGTCAGAACTAACCAATAAATAGATTCCATGTTTTCTTGTTTATCATGCATACAAGTATCTTTCCCTATATATTTGTACCACTTTTAAGAGCCAGTTTTGATTATATATTCCTACATTTAGTAAGCTGGTGAGTGAGGAATATTTTCTAATTTTCTTTTTCTGGACAGACATTTCATACATGTATCATGGCAGTGTGGTAAACTTCTCAACTGGAAGAACTAACTCGGCAAAATATTTTAGGGATATTACCTATTTTTATACATATCTCTTCTAGATAACTACATTTCACACAACATGATTAGATTTTCAGAATCTGCTTCTGTATCGTTAATATATCAGATAATGCTAACCTATTAATCTCATATAGTTTTGCTTAGAGAAATTAGTGCTTGGACTGAGAATACCTATAACCAAGGATTTCAGATGTTGGGAAAGAATTATATGTCTGCTTAGTAAATATTATCTTATCTTTTAGGTTTAATTAATGTAGCATGGAATCCAGAGGAAATGGAATTTCCTAATACCAGTATGTCTGTAACCAAGATTAAAGAAAGGTCTTTTTGCCACCTTCTAACAAACATCAGTTAAAATGAAATGCTTTGCTACATTGGACCCTCTTCAACTTAGCACTTATAAATATGGGTAGCTTTGGCAACACTAACCTGCATCGTAATAAACAGCATTCAACTAAATGACATGTTAGTTACCCCCTTCCTCTTCCCCAGTTGATGCCTCCTAAGAGCCGAATGCTATTCTTGAGAGCAAATTCCTGGATACTGGCATTAGTGACAAAGTGTCAGGACATTTTGCCAAGAATGTTGTTTCTTCTTGTACAACACAAAGCAAGGAAACCTCTGTATTTTATGGCTTTGAGGTTTTAAAAAATGTTCTGCAGTTTGATGTGGCTTTTAAATTCAGTGAATCGCCTTCATGAACACTGAAGTGGGTATAATCTTCAGAACTAGGAATCATTATAGTTACAGATAGGATTCCAGCGTATGTCCTGCTCATAGGGAGACCTGTTGCCATTAATCAATACTGCATGAAAATGTTGTTACTGACTCGCACTAAAATTAGGAGCACCATGTATCCAGAGTTTTTCTGTTTTTGGATCAGATATAAAATCTAAGTTTCTATTGAGGTTAAGAAGCATTTGTTTCCTTGAAACCTTAGAGAGGTCATTTTCTTACTCATCGATAGCTTATGTCTACTTGAATGCAATATATTTCTTTTCTGTCTAGGGATTTTGGCTGCATTATGGTTTGGTTATAACGTAACTCAGTTAAGGAGTGTATTTACTAGTTTCCAATGTAGTCTATGAGGCTCATTTAATGTTGTTTTTTTTTAATTTTCTATGTGTGTGGCTATAAGGCATTTTTAGATATGCAAATATTTGTTATAATCATGATCCCTTTTATAATTTGAGTTATTTTCTTGCCCTGGGGGTTTACAAGGACATGAGTGTAATATTCTTTATGTGGAAAAGACAAGAAATAGACCTTGAGCTCTAAACCTTTACCTGATCCCCCTCTTCTGTGAGCCTGTATCTCCGGACAATGGGGAAGTTTACAGCCAGTATGGACAGTGAGCAGGCTGGGAGCACCTCAATCCTCATGCTGATATTAGAGAATGCCTTAGCAATGTTAATGGGCTCCTTGTAGCACTGAAGCATGGGAGAGAACAAGCTCACTGATATCATTTATGCCTGTTGTCTTCAGTAACTTAGAACTTATTATGGTATATTAAATCAATAAACATCTTGGTTATAAACAATGTATTTTGTAACCATTAGGCTGAAAGGGACTTCCAAGAATATCCAATCTATTTCTCTTGCTTTTTGTAAAGACTTGTCTAAGCAACTACTCTAAACACATAGTTACATAGTTATTCTCTCTATACTTAAGAATATCTCCTGTTCACCATGGTGAAACCCCGTCTCTACTAAAAATGCAAAAAAATTAGCTGGGCATGGTGGCACATGCCTGTAATCCCAGCTACTCGGGAGGCTGAGGCAGGAGAATTGCCTGAACCCAGGAGGCGGAGGTTGTGGTGAGCTGAGATTGTGCCATTGTACTCCAGCCTGGGTAACAAAAGCAAAACTCCATCTCAAAAACAAAACAAAACAAAACAAAAAAAAAAACAAAGAATATCTATGGGAAGCATATTTGAAAAGCATCATTGGAAATCCACTTCATTACCAGTGATAGGCCTGGAGAGAAGGATTGTATTTATATATCTTAATTAGTCAGAAGAATCACGAACTCTATATTAGTTCATATGATTTTACCTGGAAAAGTATCCATTTGCATTGCCACATATGTCATGATGAGGAACATGCCAGAGATTTCTTATCTATCCCCAACAGGAGGTCAACTACACCTTTCACACATATAATCTAAGTGCATTTTCAAAGTTATAGTCTGAGATAATGGTCCAAACTGTTATCATTTTGCTAATCTATTACAGTTGATTATTGCAGTTACAATGTTGCTTACATATGTTTGTGAGGTACTATATAAAATGTCTGTTCATTCAAACTTCAAGCTGGAAAAGAATTATATTTTTATTTGTCCTAAACAATGCCATCTACATCTCTTCTCTTAGGAATTGTGATTGTAACAATGTGGTGGCATGTGTTATTTCATTTGACTTATACCTATACAGCATTCTCACCTACCTACAAACTATTACCAACAGCATGCATTTTAGTATGGCAGACAAAAAGAATTTATGTGATGTTCCCTTAGAAACCACATGATATTAAATTGGGGAAATGGTTTTAACCCACTCTACAAGAGATACTTTAAAATATAATTTGGCACCTATAGCTGTTGTATTTTAATGTTCTTTTAAGCTGCTATTTTAAAGAAGGCACCTGATAACTAGCCATTAGTACCAAAGCATCACACTGGCATCAGGATTGTTGTGATGGAGATAATGTCCTCATTTGCAAATAAATCAGTTATCTAACAAAATGAGAATCCCCCAATATGTATTCAGAATGTACACACCTGTATCTTCTTTGTGGACCTTACTAATTAGGTAACATTGGCCGTAATAAAAAGTAATAATATACCTCAGAAACCCAGTAGTTGGATCTCGTGTCTATATAATGCAGAGAAGGGGAAGAAGACAGCTTCCAGGTAACATGGGACCCAACTTCCTAGAAACTGCCTCTGTATTCATCTCTTATTCTATATTTTAAATAATTTCAGATTTTCCTTTTAATATCTGATTTTGTGTGGAATCAAGTGAGCTTTGGTCTAGGACTCTGAGACAGACTTTGGTACCTGAGACTTGAGAGTGGGTCCATAGGCTCAGCACTTCAAATGCTATTTCTCATAGTCTTGCACGCCTTCCTCTTGTCCAGTGACAATGGTGTCAGGACATAGTGTGAATGTGCAGGTCTCTCCTAGAAAAACAAAGCAAAAGAGGGCAATAACAACTTAAAATCTCATTCACAAGGGGAGCAAGACTTTCCATTTTCCAAATGCCTCCAAAGAGTTCCAGCAATAAAGCAAAATTAAATTGGTAGATGATACGAAAGGCAAAGCCATGGAGAATTCTGAAAACCTCATAGGCTCTGTGTTTTAGACAGAATCATATTGCTTCTGAATGAAACTGCATATGCGAAGTTATGGGGCATCAAGAAGGAGCTCAAAATTATGACCATCATTAAATATATTTGTTCAAGTCTCCTTGTGTTCCTGAATTTCTGGGGGCAGGTGATGTGGATGATTAAGGCAAAAAGTGAAACTTGTACACACAGGTTTCTGTCTTGACACTTTGAGAACAACTTAGCCCATTCTAGACCCATTCTTACTCTCCTCTGTCACCAGACACCATCTCACCCCCTCAAGCCTGGCCCCAGCAAACAACATGCTCTCTTCACTTCTGAACCCAGAATGGCTACAGAGAGTTGCTGGTGCCTCATTCATGCAGCTAGGAAGGACCACACAAAGTCAGACCTGAGTAACAATGTGCTTCTGAGGTGTAGTAATGAACCAGATGTGCTGGGGCATAGATTATATCTGCAGCTGCTCCCTCTGCTCTTTCTTCAAAACACAGTCTGACTCACAGCACTTCATGCAACTTCACTGAATGTTCCTTTGAAATTAATTAGATGTGACTCTGTATAGGCTTTGGGTGGTACCAGACGCCTTTCAGCCAACAATATCTCAAAACTCAAGTCCAAGAACCAAGCCCCATATCTACAGCTTATTCTATTAGATTATATACATCTTCAACTAAAAATTATGTCATTTCAGAGGCTTCTATAAGCATAGTTTGATATAGCCCAAAAATATGAGACTGAATTATTAAAGTTTAACATATTTCTAAACAATTTATGGACAGCTCTTGATGTGATTATTCCTAAGCCACAACCAGCTGCTTTAACATACACATAAATTGTGTTCATGTAATTGAAAAAAAATTATTGTTAAATGGATAAGTTTACCCCAGCTATGGACTCAATTTCAAGACCCTCATGGTGGTGAATGAAGAGCAGACACTGATATTATATACAGAATAACATAAACTTGTCAGACTATATTGAGATAGTGTGCAAAATTCCTTCCTCACACTTGATCCAAATAATTGAAACCTACATATTACTGTTATTCTGTCCTTTGTTTTCTTCCTTCCTTTGTTCCTTCTTTCTTCTAATTAACATGTCATTGATATACTTATAGCATAGGAAGTATCACAGCTAATCTCATATTCCAAAATACTTTTATAAAGTGATTAGCATTTTCAGTTTGTGTATGTGTGTGTTTATGGAACATAGATGATACATCGTTGAAAGAAATAACTTTCTCTGGAAGGACTTGGGAATGCAGAGAAGTTTGTTTTTATTTCTAATATGTTATAACCAGATCAGGGTTTCAGTTAAGCACCTCATTGTCATTCCATCCTTATTAAGAAATGACCTAGTTCAGTGGTTCAGCTGATCTGCTTGGAAGTATCTGGCTGGCTTCATAAGAATTCCGTAGGGAACTTTAGGAATACAAATGACTAGGTTTTGCCTTCAGACTGGGATTCAGTCGGTCTCAGGTAGGGCATAGGAACCTGTGTTTAGTAAATCACTCTAAGTAATGCTAATATACAGCCAGACTTGGGAATCACTGAAAAGTATTCAAATAATCCCAATTACTAGGAGTAAATACAAGTTGATTGGGATAGTAATGCTATTCTCATACCATTATTTGTTTCACAAATTTTAATTTTAGCTTTGATTTCCAATTTGTGGTTTTCTTTCTGAGCATAAATCTTCAAACTTAGAGACAGATGCCAACACTGATAAGCATGAGGGATGAATATTGCTCACTATAGGGCTATTAGGCATACTACATACAGCAACATTTTCTTAGTTACTGCCAGAGCTGTGCAGTATATTACAACCTTTGCGAATCCTCACCACCGAGGTAAAAACTATGACCTTTGGGACACAGAAGCAAATGTCAAAGAGACAGCCTTACTTCTGAATACTTTGATTTTTATGTTATGAAAAGACACCAACTTAATACTGAGTCTCACTATGTACTTTTCATATTGAATTGTACATTATCTGAAAGTGATCTCCAAGCAATACCTTATAAAGACTTTTCAAGCAATAATTCAAGCCATGGTACGATACCATATGAAGCTGGCACCTCTTTGCATTTCATAGAACCTTTGTGAAAACAGACACACATTTTATACAAGCAATAATATAGCTGGTGTGGACTTTTTAAAGACATGCGTTATTCTATAGCAAAATGAGCAGCAAGTGATGACTCAGATTAAAAATATCTGAGCAAATGACACCCTCAATCTATCTCAGAAGTTATTCATTTGCAAACATGCTGTAAAGTGATTAATATACATCGGATTATTTCTGGTGCATAATTTAAAAAATGGCTATCAAAACATGATTTCTATCCCTGTCAAAGAGATTTCTGTATTATTTGTAATGTTGCCTAATTTTTAGATCTTCGTAGTATATACTAGTAAAGAAGGAGGTAAGGATGGATAAATGAGTGGAAGTAAAGCATAGGTTGGAAGAGGGGATTGAGAAAGTAGGGTTTGCAAAAATATAGATGGGTCTCGGGCAGGTTAACTAATTCAAATGTTGGTTTGAGAAGGTCTTGGAAGACGAAAGAGTAAAGATAAAAGAGCTCATTATCTCTATTTTCAATGATAGCTATGCAAATGTTTGGTACGTAGAATAGTATTTTGACTTCAGAACATGACTGGCTGAAAGTTGCCTGTAGTACAATTAATAAATGTCTGAAAATGATTATTCAGTAATATTGACAAACATTAAAGCTTTCAGATTTTGAAATGAAAAAATCATATTTTTAGTCTTCTTAAAATACAGTATTAATAGGATGTGGCATAGTCACTGCTAACCAGTTCTTTAGTAGTTAAATTTACTTCTCCATCATTTGGAATAATGTATGAGCATTACAGCTAAAGTCAGCTGGTAAATGTATGTTTACACTGAGCAATATCTAAACATCAGATTATTATTTAGCATATAAGCATTCCTCAGCATTTACATAAGACCACAGCTCCTATTATTGCCTAGCAAGGTAAATGCTCCTCTAAACCTCCATACAAACACATTTGCATGGTGGGTGTGGTGGCATTTTGTCTTCACCTCCTCTTACTCATAGCAAAACTTAATTTAGCATCTTCCTTCCCACAATATGGAAAAATCCCCTATCAAAAGCAAACAGGATCGTTGATTCACTGAGGTTATGACAGTTATCCTCTTGAATATCACTGGATTCTTAAATCCTTAGTAAGAATGTTTTTGAGCTTAATAAATAATGGAAAACATTTAATTTGAATCTATTAAATTACACTGAATTTATCCTTCCAGTTAATTCATCTAGTTGCTGATCAGATCATTCTTTATATTTGACTTAAGTACTGTTGCTTATTATTTGAAAGCAGAAAAGAAAAAGTAAATGGCAAGTCTGAGTAATAAGTTCGTTTTTGATTCTTTTGATACCTATTTTTAAAGTGAAGAAATCCCTTTATATTCAGTCTTCCTCTGTGGACTTTTCACTATTTGCAGATAAAGAAGGAATTCTACTTAACAGATTTTCACTGTACTCTATTAAATGACATTAAACCTATGTCTAACATGAAAGTAATTACAGGGATAAAATCAGCAATGTGCAAAAAGGTTTCTTTATACCACCTCACTTTCTGAAGACAATTCATTGCATTTTGCTGCCTGGCATTCACACATCAGACTCAGGACAAAGGGACAAATGGAGTGAGGAGGTGGCAGGAGCTTTAGATGAGATGATGCAAAGAGAGTTAATTTTTTCTTCAGGATGATGAAGAGACTCAAAGAAGAGGCCATTTCTACAGCAAACACCTCTGGTTTAAAAGCCAAATGATTTATTTGACTACTGGTCACCCACGTTTAAAAAGAAAAGAGAAAGAGAAAGACAAAAAAAGAGAAGCCCTTCACAAGCCATTTTTAGTTTTCCTGAGGTAGTGCCAACCTCTTGGCAGCTGCACATCTCAGCGAAGCTGGGATAGAAGCTTACAGAGCTGCAAATAGATACTTTCTCAAGGTGGCAGAGAGCACTAGCCTTGGTTACAAGGATGAAGGTAAATGAAAGCGTCAGAACATCTGTATTGAAGGAACAAGGAAGGCCAGATACCAGCTCGGCCATATGCCACAGAGAAGCCTGCTGAAATTAGCACAGAAAAGCAGACTAACGGTATGCAAGTGATATTAAACAATCATTCTTCCTTTTATAACATGGCTGGCTGAGCTAGCATTCAGTGAGAAGAAGATGCTTTTATCTCGTGCACTAAACAAAAAAACCTGTTGTCCTGACATTAAAGAAATTTCAGATTCCCTTAGTTGAAAAATTTAATCACAAATAATAGGAAATATTTATTTTGTTTCCTGAAATTTGCAAACTTCTTTTGGGGACTGTGCTCTATGCCTTATTCTTCACACACTTTCAAGCTGGGTTTGGCTTCTAGCAAAACAGGTGCAACTTTAGAGCAGAAAGATGTCCATCTATCCCTTAGAGAATGTGCTAGAGTATTTGAGCTGGACAGAGAATCAGCCCATAGCATTTAATGGTATTTTGTGAGAGACATGAAGATTCTAGTCTTCTAAACTTAAAAGTGGTTAGGTACTACCTTCATCATCAAAGATTTTCCACTTACATGTAACTGGTTAATTAGTGCAAAGTTCGCTTAGAACAGAAACTTTAAAAGGAGGGAACACATTCAAACAATTTTTATACAAAATTATCAGCTAGAAAAAGAATTTAGGACAAAGATTTATTGTCCTGAAAGAGTCAACTTACTCATATCCAAAACTTAGAATGTCAGAGACTTTTGAAAGTTTTCTGAATGTATGTTCTCCAGCAATGAGAAATCAAATTAATTTGTTTCTAGGTTCCTTCGAGTTTTATCCTCTGATAAAACCTAATTGTGAAATACATTTCACTCATTTTTACTTTATATCTTCCATTTGTTAAAGGAAAAAAGTCATAAATATGACAGACTTAAAAATTGTGGCATTGAGCCAGGGTTTGCAAATTTGGCAATATTATTTTACTTAAAATACTACATTTTTGAAATAATATAAAAATTAAGGCTAACAGTCAAATAATACTATATTTCCAGCTTGTTCACATTAGAATATAGAACAATGCATTGTAAACTTCTTGGAATAAAATCTAAGTCAAAACCAGTTCATGTTCAAATCATTTGAACAACAAATATGAATATTGCTACATCACCTCCGACTAACAAGAAACTATGCATTTCCATACCCAACGAAACCTCAATTCCTAAAACCATTCTACTTTTATTGCCACCCAGGAAGTATTTCTTCATGGTCAATATCACTCTTTAAAGGATAGCAAATGAACATGACCTTCTGCTGAGGCTTGGGGGATCTGGATTAATATGTATGTATGTAACCATTTGAAAGGCCATTTTCTTTTTTAGTCTTTTAAGTTAAACATTTTTATAAAATGAAACAAAATATGAAACCACTTAGTTGATTTATCAACAATGTGAAACCCTCCTTCTGAATTTTGTTGGTAAACACTACCACATTGACACCAAAACCTAACCTTGGCTCGGACTCTCGGATAAATTGCTTTTGTGTTCTTTGACTAGAAACTATTCTCAAAAAAAAAAAAAAAAAGATATTATGTCTTATGGTGGCTCCAACTCTAACCAAGAAGGTCTAGATCAACTAAAGTACTGTATAATTATCTAAAGTAATACAGGGGGATTTTTAGAAAAATTCTTTAATTTTTGTTATTGTGTAAAAATTATTAATGGATGGCAGCCCAAATTATTATTTTCTTTTAAAATTTGTTTCAAGTGTGTCAATAGGCACTCATAACATTGATTTCTTTGTTTTATACTCAATGACCTGAAATAATAGGTGCTTGTTGCTTTTCCTTTTGATCCTTAAAAACACTTTTATTCTGTCTAAAAGAATTCTCCTACTAAAATGCAAATGATTATTGGCTATAGGAGGAGTCTCATTTTATGAGCTTTTATGAAATACGTAGTTGGATTCAGCTGGAATGCAACTTAGAGAAAGGAATGGATACCAATAGAGAAGATGAAAAGAGACAGAAAAATCAAACTTTGCTTACATTAAAATTCTGTCATCAAATCCTGTTAACCTAAGAAGAAAGCTGAAAATAGATGGTAAGGATAAATGATTATAGATTTTTAAACACAGTATTCATATTTAATAGAATGTCATAAAAATGACAGAATGCCATGAAATTCAGCATGTCAAAACTTTGCTAAAACAAACAATAGATTTAACAAATATGCTAATTAGAGTGAATATTTAAAGGGACAAAAAGAACTTGTCACATCATAGATGTCTCCCCACTACTGGGAAAATTTGGCATTATATGTTCAAACAACATCTGCTATATTAGCTAAATTAAACATTAGTATAGTCTCTCTGCTAGTGAGAAACCACTGCACGAGTCCAAATATCAAGTGTGGCTATAACTTGAATCGATAGAGTTTGGTGTTCCTGAATAAAGGGCTTAATGAATGTAAAACAAATGGGTTGCATATATAGGTTTTATGTGCAGTAAATTGAGCAGGCTTTAAAATTTGTCAGCATGGTTAGCTCCTCTTTTCTAATTTTCCTTCCTTCCTCCCTCTCTCTCTCCCTCCCTCCCTCTCTCCTGCCCTCTTTGCTTTATTTCTTTCTAGCTCTTATAAGATAAATGACAATAGTATTTTATTGTTTGGGCTGGGGCTTCCTCTCTTTTTCACTTTCACATGATTGAAAACTTTGTGGATTTGTGAGGGAAGGGGAAAGAAGATGAGCACATCAATATAGATCCTTTGAGGATAGCTGTAATGGAGAGAATTGGGACCTTGACTTCCAGAGACTTTGTAAGTCAAGAGAAACGTGGGTCTATAAAAATATGTGTGTGTTTGTTTTCAGTGAATTTAAACACATTTTCAAGAAGTATCAGGGTCAATCTGTTTAGATAATCTCCCATTTTTAGCCCCTACAAATGTCTTAAGTTAGAAAAATCCTCTTACTTTCAAGTAGCCATTTGTTTTTAATCTGAGTACCACACTGCTAAAGGCTGAAATAGAAAAAATGCTTTTACTATTTGTAGGGAAATTGATTTCTGAAAACTACTTTCCAATAAGGTGTACACATCAAATGCAACTTGATTTTACTGGCTCTGTATCTAGAGATAACTGATGCACTGTCTTGTTTCTTAGATACCCCTTTGTAATTCAGCTTAGCATAGTATTATGTTTTGAGTTCTTATTGAGGGTTTGGATATATTTGTCATCAATTTTATGTCTACTCTATTGAAAAAGCAATATACAATGTATTCCATATTTCTTAGCTCTGCGTCTTTGAAGTTTTAACCTATATTCATATAGCCGTTTTTAACTACATTTTGAGTATTTACCAGAATTTACAAACTGCCATGTTACTAAATACAAAAAATTACAGCTTGGATCAAGAGATCAATAATTTACAAATCTCAATCCAAAGCCATTATTTTTCAGGGAAAATTGAATCATTTCTAGCAGAGTATTTGATTCCTAAGGGAAGATAAGTCAAGTATCTTCTTTAAGAGTAAGTATATTCTTCCACTGTAGGTACTTCTCATTGACTTTATAATAACTTGAACAAGATTTTAAAAATCTATAATCTCCCAAGCTTAAAATTATGTTCTTTCTGGTTTATTTTCATGTATTAAGATTACATTCAAACCATTTAACAAATTATCTTCATGACACAGTTTGTGTTAATAGAAAATCATATAGAAAAAGTTGTTATTTGTGCCTCTGTGGAAAGATATGTTTCAGTGAGTTAAATATCCTTGAATTTTGGTCCTCAGTTCTTATTTCGACTTTTCCGTCATGTGCTTCAGGGTCTTAAATTCTAACAGATGAATAGTCAAATAAAGGGGTACGAAATATTTAGAAAAAATTAGAACTTCAAAAGGGACTAATTTCTCTGTTAATTAACTTCTGTTTATCCCATCCTTGCTAAATTATTTTGAAATTGTGAAAAAACAGGCAGCTACCATATAAACTGGTACCTATGAAAATACTGATTACTTTCTTCCCGTGATTTTCAGTGTTAAGAGAGCCTTTGTCTTGAAATGATAGACAATCTTAATACTTGTTCAGATAAAGAAATATGACTTTCAATACCTTTGCCATTTTTATTTCTTTAGGGAAATACTTTAATAATGAGTGTAAAAATAGAAAAAATATGAGAAAAACAGAAATTAAGATGAAATTTGAACAGCTGTACTCCACAGTCCCATTTTCATTTTTCTCTCTATTTTAGTGCCTTCTACTGAGTTATTGAAGGCCCAGATCTGCAAAATTTACAAGCTACTAATTCATTGCCTCCCTTAAGAATTTGGAGCAAAAATTATTCTGACTATGCGGAAATCACTTCACATCATCATGGCAGGTTTTGACTATGAGAGAATCCAGGTTAGGTTCAAATAGAATAATGGTCCATGGAGAGAAATACTTTCTAATTTTTCTTGAAGTTGGATGAAAAGCTTTTTCTTTATTTAAAAAAAAAAAATTCCTCCTGAGAATTCTGCCTTGGAAGAAGTCAAAAGTTTTATAACAGCTGCCTGTAGCTACCTTATAACTTCAGTAATCAAGTGACAAAACTGTCTCATTATGCTTTTAAAATCCAGATTAAGTGCATTCCAGAAATAATACATATCATTCTTCATTTCAAAATCAACCTACCTGAATTCTGACTCTTCAACTATGAGCAGCCATTTTACAAAACCAAAGGGTCTCACTTCCCAAATAGTACTTTAAATATCAAACTTAATCCTGTTAATACTCATTGCAATGCATAAAATAAACAGCCAATGCATTTCCATCAAGTTTTCAGGCACTATGTAATAACAAGTAGGTTTCCAAAATCACTTAATAAAAACACATAGTTATAATGTGCTAGGCCTTCATTAGCATCCTCTGCATGGGGTGGTTTTTATTTAACCTGAATTACTTTAACATTTTGGCTAATTTGTTTGCTGCAATTTCATGGGTCTAAATATCTGGTTTGGCTTGCCATGTAAATTATATTGTACATCTGCTCCCTTGCTACTAGATTTACTTTGTGAATAATATCTTTTAAAAATGTAGTTATCACAAACTTAAATTATAATGTCATCAACTAATACCAGGTAAATATACTAATATATATGTAGGGCATGATTAAATTACATATATTTTGAAATGTCAAACTATTTTTGTTTTTTTTTAAAAAAATGAATGCATCTCTTAAACCTGTACCATTAATTTTTAAAAAGTTTCATTTGGTATTTCATATTATATTTTAAAATATTTTTCTTTATCTAGTAGTACAGGTTTAGAGAAACTTTTTCTGATTGAAATAATAAAATATGCCTCATTTCATTAGAATTTTAACAATACATGTAAAAGTATAACTCACATAAGATTATAAATATCCACAATATCTTCTTTGCTTTTCATGTAACACCACTTTTTACTCATTCATTTGTTTGTTATTCTAAAGCATTCACAGTATAAATAGCATGTTTCATGATACAAAATGTTTTCGTATTTACAGACTGAAGAACAAGGTGAATTTGTGTCTGAAAAATGAGTGATGGAAACATGGGATTCTTATAAAACAAAGTGGAAATGACAGTTGTGTGTTCTATTTACATAATTCATTACAAAATTGTCTAGTTAAATCATGCATTTATTTACCTTAAAAGTGTCCAAACTGTCACTTATAAAATATTTAAATCAATAAATAATACCAAAAGAGTCTTCATATTCTTTTTAGCATTTTTTCCATAGAGTGAATGTGAATAACAAGGCTTAAGAATATGATGAATAAATGAAAGAATGGGGGAGCAAATAAAGGAGTGAATGGGTGTTCATGATGCGGTGCCTTCATGGCGGCAGATGCAGCTGCTGACACAATATCTGACAAAGCCAATTTGCATTTTTTTTAACACGAAATCTCTCTTTTGTCCTCTTACAAAAGAGCACGCATTATAATTACTGTATGTACCCCAAATATATATCACAAAGAAAAGGCACAGCTCACTTGTCTTCTGACTAGGCAGTTGCTCTCTTGAAAGGACAGAGAAAAGGGTTCATATTACTGTTATAATTAAATGTCAGTTGAATGTCCACTGAGTACCTTGCAAGAGCATACCCGTAAACTAGATGAGATGCAGCACATACCTACAAGGCCATTTATTCCAGTGTTCTGGAACACTCCACAGCCTACCTATACAGAAATGAGTTATCATTGTTATTTAATGGCTCTCTCCTGTATAATCATTTAGCCTCAACCAGACAAATTTCCATCTGTTTCTAGAAGTTCTTAAGGGAGTCTTCATCTTGTGTTCACAAAACAGGGCTGTTCTCATCATCTGCCCTTGTCTTCATATTACCTGCTGCTCAGAAGCCGTGCCACTCCTGAGAGCCACTTCCCCGACCGTAAGAGAACTGACATTGAGTAGGTAAATGAAGAAACACTTAATGAATAGCTCTTAAACGATAATCAATGGAGAATGCTCTTATGAACCATTTTCTCAATTATATCCTAATAATCCTATGAAAATCTGCTCTCTTCATTTTAGAGGTAAGAAAATTTAAGCAGAGAGGGAGAGACTACGAAGTTGCCTGAAGCGTACGCAAGGTGGTTGCTACATAACACACGATGAGGCTGAAGACTACCTTTTGTTAATGGTTTCAACTTTCTGGAACTTAACTACAAGACAGACTGTAGTTAAGTGATATTGTGCTGAGGAAAACTAGAAATGGTTGTGGTAAAGAACTAGCAGCTTTTGACACAATTGACCTTCTGCATGCCAAATACTGATTTGCACACTTTGCTGATCAAGCTGAACGCCTTCACATCCCTCTGCAAGGAAGACAACATAGAGTTTCTTTCAGTTACAACAGCTGGCTCGCGTCCAGATATGCTGGGTGATACGCGTTTATCTCCATCACCACATGGTCACTTAGGAACGAAACACAAATGTCTGCCTTCTCCCTCTCTACCCTCACTCCCACATAAATGTATGTGTGTATTCCTACTCATAGAGATAGATGAGTGACAGACAAGACAAAGCCATAATTTCAATAAAAATTTTCAAGGAAGAAAGGGAAAACACATTGTAATTCTCCATTTCACAGCATGATAGACAGGTAATAAGATGCCCCTGCCCTGGCTCGAGTCCCTATGGGGAACCATTATCTACAACCTCCAGCTCCACCTGTGGCGCTTGTCTCCACTGGCTGCGATGGCCTTCCTTGTTTGTTCCACACCGTGGCTGCTTGTGAAGTGAATATTAGGAAATATGCCTTCCTTGGGAGCTTTATACTTTTCACAGACTACTGCTTGCTAGTATACGTTTGTATGTTGAAGCATTCAATTCGACTCACTGAATCATTTTCAAATATGATCCAGGACAGCATCACATTTGTCTTGATTGTTGGACAAATGGCGGCTTTAAAACTTGAAAGCCTTCTCATCTGCTTGCTTCCCATCTGTCCTGTGTGAGACATCCAAACCAAGGTTCTCTCCTAGGTCAAGTTTGTATTCCTGCCTTATTTCTTTGTCCCTTAATTTAATGGCAGCTACTTTGATTTCACCCAGAACTGGAAGGAAGGTTTGGGAAGAAACGCAGCACTCTGTCCAATCTTTGCTAGGGGGCTGAGTCCCTTTAGTAAAATGAGAAGTTTTAATGAGTCTCTGCTGCTCAGTCCTTTTCAGTCTTGTCTCCTTTTTTTGAAGGACAGAATCATTGGCATTCTCCATTTTCTGCCTGCAAACAACCTAGGTTTGTCCTAAATCTCCTTGTAACACAAGAAGCCAGCACTTACTGGTATTCTGGTTCGCCTCAACCACTCCCCCTTAAATGTAGACACTGAGAGCACTTGATCTGCCTTCCAAGTTATCCAGGGTCAACATTTTTATGAAGTGTTTTGCTACCACCTAGTTTTCTGTGTCAGAAACTCCCACCTTGGTTCTTAGCCAGTGCCACAGCATAAATGCCTAAAGGCTTTTGTTATAGGGGCACTCATCTTCAAGGCTTCATAATCTGCGTATGAGTTAGGCTAGGTTAAACAATCCAAACAGATAAAGACCTCTTGCAATGAATGTGTACTTTCCACTAATACATCAGGTACAAAGGTACCAGACTGGAGTAAAGCTGCTTCATATTTATTTAGAGGCCCAGGCTGACGGGGACTCTACCTGGTAAGATTTCACAGGCCAGGCCTGATAACAGCACAGATCACTGTCACTCGCATTGCTACCTTTAGAGGCAGTCACACGGCCGCATCAAACCGCAAAAAAGATGGAAAAGGTATTCCACTTGCATACCAGTGTTAAAGAAAAATCTTTCAGTGACTTGTTAAAGATGATAAGGCAGACTTTATTTGTGGGATACGGCAATGGGGTTTTGCAGTAGGGGAGAGAGATTGGGCTCGACTCTAACTCCAACAAGGGCAAGGAGCAGGGTGCGGGTCAAGGGATGGAAAATTAGCAAAAGAAAACATCAAAGCTAGGGAAATTCTGGCTAAACCTATGCCAGGATTCTTGCTGATGGCAGGTCAGCATGATGAGTTACTGAGTGTAGAAGATGAGGAATTCATTCAAATATTGAGGGTGATCAGGTATCAAGGGTTCAACCATTTTCTCTAAGCTGACTCAGCAGGATTAATGCTAAAACTGGCCAAGCAGGACACGCTGGGGCCTAGTCAGACAGAGGACTGAGAGGACCCTGACTCAGATTTGGTCAAGGAGAGTGTCACTGTCACCAGAAAGAAGAATAAGGATTTCAATGGACAGCTATTTCGTAAAATACATTATAGATGAGATTTAAAAAGCACAGACAGCAAAAACAAAAACAGACAAATGGTACTATCTCAAACTAAAAAGCTTTTACACAGCCAAGGAAATAACAGTGAGAAGACAACTTGTAGAATGGGAGAAAAATATGTGCAAACTATCCATATGACAAGTATCCATATAACACCCAGGATATGCAAGAGATTCAAACAAGACAGGAGTTCTTTTAAAATCCCATTAAAATATGGGATACAAATAGACACTTTTCAAAAAAAGACATTCGAGTGGCCAACAAGTACATGCAAAAAATTCTCAAGATCACTAATCATCAGGGAAATACAAATTAAAACCACAATGAAGCCGGGCGCAGTGGCTCACGCCTATAATCCCAGCACTTTGGGAGGCTGAGGCGGGTGGATCACGAGGTCAAGAGATCGAGACCATCCTGGTCAACATGGTGAAACCCCGTCTCTACTAAAAATACAAAAATTAGCTGGGCATGGTGGCGCGTGCCTGTAATCCCAGCTACTCAGGAGGCTGAGGCAGGAGAATTGCCTGAACCCAGGAGGCGGAGGTTGCGGTGAGCCGAGATGGCGCCATTGCACTCCAGCCTGGGTAACGAGAGAGAAACTCCATCTCAAAAAAAAAAAAAAAAAACACAATGAGATATCACCTTACCCCAAATGCTGACAAAGATGCAGAGAAAAGGGAGCCCCTATACATTATTGCTGGAAATCTTAATTATGCAGCCATGATGGTAAACAGTACGGAGAGTCCTCAACAAACTAAAAACAGAACTGTATGATCCAGCAGTCCCACTACTGGGTATTTATGCAAAGGAAAGGAAATCAGTGTTTCAAAAAGATATCTGTATCCCCATGCTCATTGCAGCACTGTTCCCAGTAGCCAGTATATAAAATCTGCCCAAATGTCCATCGACAGATGAATAAAGAAAAGGTCTAATGCATGCACAAAGGAACACTGTTCAGCCGTAAAAAAGATAACATCCTGTCATTAGAAGCAACATGGATGAGCCTGGAGGACATTACATGAAGTGAAGTGAGTCAGGCACAGAAAGATAAATAATGCATGTTCTCACTCATGTGGGATCTACAAAGTTGAGCACATGGAGGTCGAGAGGAGAAGCCTGGTGATGGATCCTGCGAAGAGAAGGAGACAGAGGGCAACAGGGAGAGGACTCTTAATGGGTAAAAAGTTATCACTCTACAGGAGGAGAAGTTTCTAGTGCTCTATATCATTGTAGGGTGTGTGAAGCTAATAATGATAAGTGATTTCTGAAAAAAGCTCAAAGATTTTGAATGTTCCCAATACAAAGAAATGATAAGAGGTGATAGATATGCTAATTGCCCCAATAAGATTATACATTGTATACATGTATCAAAATATCATTCTGTATTCAATAAACAGGTACAATTATTATGTGGCAAATAAAAGGAGAAAATGGGCTACAGAGTGTCCTAAGCTTAAGAAGTAATTGGCTGAATAATCATAGTTGCTTATTTGCATGAGTTGATTAACCTGAAGATACTTATTCACATGCTAACGTGAAGGAGGAGACATAGGTGGACTCTAAGGAGCAAAACAGAGAAATTCAAAAATGAGAATACAGTATCTGCTCCCCAGCCTGGCCCCAGAGACTCAATGTGAACTCTCATAGGAAGGAAGCCCAAAAGCCAAAGCTGGAAAAGTTGTTGTGCTAAGGACTCACACGCTGCCTAGACAATAAGGAATGCTGTCTCAATGCCCAGGTAATTAGTTTAACAGTCTGGGGAAGAGCTGTCCTCCCCAAAGGATCTGTTTAAACTTGAGAGAGGATTTAAATTCAAAATGTTACTGAGTTTTTAGAGATGAGATCACACAAGCGCACTCTGTCACATAATTAAATGTAACACATATTACCTGTTTGCTATCATCAAATCCTGAAGTTTCGG